AGGGGGCGGAGACAGGAGAGCCTATAAAACAGTGGTTCTCAACCTGTGGGTCGGGACCCCATTTGGGGTCGATCGACCATTTCACGGGGGTCGCCAAGCAAGGCTGTCTGCCATTTTTTTTAATCTGCCATTTTTTTTGTCCGCCATTTTTTTCCCCTTTTCCGGCGGGTGCCTTACCTCCCTTGGGCTGGGCCAGCTGGTGGTCGGCCTGCTCCGTCTCTGCCGCTTGCCAGCTACACCTCGGCCGGCACAGGGGGCAGAACCACGCATGCGTGGCACTCCCGGGCAGGGAAAGTCCTTGACTTACGACCGGTTGGGTAGTCCTCGCCTTACGACCGGTTTAGTCCTCGACTTACGACCGGTTTAGTCCTCGACTTACAACCGGTTGGGGTCGCGGCATTAAAAAGGTTGAGAACCACTGCTATAAAAGGAGGCAGTTTGGGCAGGAGAGGGAGAGAGAGAAAAAGCAGCAGCNGGGGAGGGGGAGGGGGAGGGTGGGGGAAGAGGAGATCAAGCAGGCTGCCCATGAGCCGATCTACAACTGCTATGGCAGCCACCTGTGCCCTGGAACACTGTGACCATTATAAATATGAACCAGTTGCCAAGCATCCAAATATAAATCACATGACCCTGGGCATGCTGCAATGATCATAAGTGTGAAAAATGGTCATAAGTCATTTCAGTGCAATTGCAACTCTGAACAGGTTTTTTTTTTGGTCATCAAGTTTTTGACACCTTGCTAGGTGGTACTTGAATATTTCCATATCCTAAAAGTGGTACAATCGGTAAAAAGGTTGAAAAGCCCTGGTGTAGAGGATGGAAGGGAAGCCGGTCAAGCCTCGGCAGGGAAGGTCCCCTTCCCGTCTTTCCCTTCAGCTGACTTCCATTTTCAGCCATCAGGAACGGTCCAGCTGAGTTGAAAAGGGGTTGCCAAAAACGGTCACAATAAAGATGAGGAATTCATGGCTGCCTCAGTTGATGAGTGGAAGGGATCCCCGTCTTCTACCTGATTCCTTCCCTGAACGTGGAAACACCAAAGGCTAGAGGTTTCTCGGTCCATTCTCCCACTATAGGACTTGATGCTTTTTTCTATTTTTGAACGCATCCAATTCTCACTGCAGTCAGCATACTGTATATGACGACAGAGTTCCATTTTCTTTTCCAGTTCCTTATCCAATAGCCCTGAAAGAAAAAAATCTTCAGCAGCAACAACTTGCTCCTCACCCACCTGCATTTTATCACCTTCCAACACTTCAGTCTTGGTTGTAAAGCTTGGCTGTAATAACTTCATCCAGCCACAAACTCCTCCTAATGGCAAACATCTGTGAATAATGGAGGCAGTTTGGGGGGCTGCGGAATCTCACGGTGGACCCTTTTTGACAGGGCAGGGACAAAGAGGCCCTTGCGCGAAGCCCACCATCCTCCCTCCATGCCCTGCTGGGGGGAAAGGAGACCACAAGAGGCCGGTAGATTGAGCTCAGATGAAACTGGAGCCCAGAAGATGTGGGGGGGGGGGAGAATTGTTTGGGGGTAACATATAGCATGGTGTACTGTTTGTGTTACTATCATTTTGTTGGTGTTTATATTTGATTGTAAGGCACTGACCTGCCCAGGGATGGGCATCCATATCATTCTCTGCAATAAATAAAATAAAGAGAAGATGTTATTCCAGTGTGATCTGCTGTCCAGATACAAAATCATGGGGATCCCAACTAAGGAAGAATTCACATTCAGTCCGGGTCACCTGGCTGGGAAGGGAAAGGGAGAGGTATCCCTTCACCTTTCCTTCTCTTTTATTTTTTCACTTCAAATAAATTAATTAGCATCAGCCTAACCTCCCCAAATCTTTGGAGATCAAAACAATGACTGCTCTCCATAAAGGCACCCATACAGCTATTTGCTTCTGGACATTTCTCTCCCTTCCGCTCCCTACCTCCCCTCCCCCCTCCCCTCCCCTCTTGCCTTCTGGGAATTTTCCTCCCCCATCACCTGGCAACTGGACCATATTTGTGACATTTCCTTCCATGGGTCTCCGACAGCCAAGCAAACACACAGCCAGGCACTCTAAGCCAACAACCGAAGCAAAACACCTGTTTGCAGCCAGGCAGCCCAGAAGAGATATAAAGCAATGCCACAATTTAAGAGAAAGGCCTCCAGAGGGTGTAGCTAGTTTTTAAGGTTTAAATTTAAGAGAAAGGCCTTCTCTTCGGGCTGCGGAGGTCCTTGGGCAGCAGCAGCAGCTGTGGCATGGTGTGTGTGTGTGTGTGTCTCTGTCAGCCTGGCTAATGGAGTGGAAGAGCCCCCCCCCCAGGACAAGGCCCTCATCTGGCTAGAATAGCAAGGAGTGCAAGAGGCCTTGGAGCTGTCTCAGAGGGGTAACCCTTGAAAACGTTGGGCAGAGAGCAGGGAAAAGGAGAGGTGCAATTTGGGCAAGGATGATTTGGTGGGTAAGCAAATGGGGAGGGTCTCTTTTTTGGGGGGAATGCAATAGGTAGGAAAATACCTACCTCCGTGCTTCTCCGCAGTGGTCGCTTTAGAGATCCATACCGTTGAAAGCCTAGGGAAGACGCACTTTGTTGCAATAGCCTCATCCAACCACCAATACTTCTTAACAGGGCAAACGTCTGTAAATCGTCGGGGAGGCTGCTGGATCTCCTGGCGGAGCCTCTTTGCCAAGGCAGGGACCGAGGAGAGGCTTTTGCAGGAGTCCAACATCTCCCCCCCCCCCCGTTGGGGCGGAAGGAGACCGCAGAAAGCCGTAGATTGGGACAGGCCGAGACTGGAGTCCAGAAGATGTGCGGGGAGAGTTTTTTTAGGGGGGCACTGAGGAAAAGGCGTATTTTTCCCCCTCGTGGATGAGAGCAGGTGGAAGGGGTAGGAAGGCCATGGAACCGCCTCAATGGTGGTGGATGATGGGAGAAGAGGGGAAGAACGGGTCCTTCGATGCCAGGGTGAATGCTGGCACCCACAGGAAGTAGCCTCCTCTCCCCCTTTCTGGGCTGGCCAAGATCCCTAGCCTGCTTCTTTGCCAAGGGCACATGGGAGCTTCTGGGGGTTCTCTGAAGTCAACCTACTTTGAGCCGACTCCCACACAGTCTGTGAGGTTGGGTGTTTCTGCCCCAGCCAAGGCTTAGCGGGCTGTAAGAATGCGGCTCTTACCTCTAATGCAGTGGTTCTCAACCTGTGGGTCGGGACCCCATTTGGGGTCGATTGACCATTTCATGGGGGTCGCCAAGCAAGGCTGTCCGCCATTTTTTTTGTCTGCCATTTTTTTTGTCTGCCATTTTTTTCCCCCTTTTCCAGCGGGTGCCTTACCTCCCTTGGGCTGGGCCAGCTGGTGGTCGGCCTGCTCCGTCTCTGCCGCTTGCCAGCTACACCTCGGCCGGCGCAGGGGGCGGAACCACGCATGCGCGGCGCTCCCGGGCAGGGAAAGTCCTCGACTTACGACCAGTTGGGTAGTCCTCGACTTACGACCGGTTTAGTCCTCAACTTACAACCGGTTTAGTCCTCGACTTACGACCGGTTTAGTCCTCGACTTACGACCGGTTGGGGTCGCGGCATTAAAAAGGTTGAGAACCACTGCTCTAATGCAAAGATGGCTTGTGCCCGGGTATATGCGAGTCCAGCTGATTCTGGTTGCTCCAAGATTCCTCCCTGGCATTGGGGTCCTGGGGGCACCTTGCTGCGCGACCACGAGGCCCTTCTAGGAGGGACAGCCAGAAACCGCAGTCCCCGCATCAGCTGAAGCCTGTTCTGCGGATTTAGCCTCCTGGCAGATTTTGTCCGGGGGGGTGGGGGGCTTTATGATGGGCAGTGGCTCCAACGTGGGCTCTCCCGCAATTTGTGCGTTTGTCTGCACGTTTGCCTTGCCATCGTGTCTCTTGTCTTTGGTGACCGCTTTAAGGCTGAGCGTGTTTCATGTTTGGGAACCAAGCTCAGCCCTCGCCAAGACACAGGTGAGGAATCAGAGGGGAGCGGGGGGGGGGCAGGATGATGGGCCAGTGGGGAAGGGGGGGGCTCTCTGGGAATTTCACAGAGCCTCCTGAGAAGTTAACGGGAGCCTTTCCAACCTGATCTCTCCCTGGTCTTTACAGCCGATTTGCCGGCAAAGCAACACATCACGACAGGGGGAGGCAACCTCGGCTCTTTTAGCTGGCTCAGGAATTCTGGGGTCCACGAGTCCTAAAAGAGCCAAAGCTGCCTACCCCTGGTTTAGGGAAAGAAGCCGGCTTCCGGGAGGGACCCTGGCCGGGCACTAAAAGCCCCCAGAAGCTGGAATGGCTTCCTCCGGCTTCGGGCATCACAGAGGCCGCAGGAAGAGCTGGGGGGCAGCGCTGCCCACGCCTAACGGCTGCGGCTTTCGCATCTGGGGCAGGAGGGCGCGCCAGCCCGACCCAGCATCCACGGCGGAGCCCAGCGGGTCTCAAGGCGCCGCAGGAACAACAGAATAACAGGGTCGGAAGGGACCTTGGAGGTCTTCTAGTCCAGCCCGCGCTCGAGCAGGAGACCCGGCCTATTCCGTTCCGGACAAGTGGCTGTCCAGGCTCTTCTTCAAAGCCTCGCAGTGATGGAGCAGCCACAGCTTCTGGAGGCGAGCCGTTCCACGGATTAATTGCTCTCACCGTTAGGAAATCCCTCCTTAGCTCCAGCTTGCTTCTCTCCTTGATCGCTGCCCGTCCATTCCTCCGCAGGGCAGCCCGCCAGCCTCGCCCCGCGACTCCCGCGCCTTCCTCGGGAGCAGGGCGGGCGAAGGCAGCACGCGCATGCGCGTTTCCCTGCTGTTCCACCGGCGCCCTCCAGAGGCCGCCTTGCCACGGCGCTGCCGGCACTACATTTCCCGTCGCGCCGCGCGCTCTCCAGCCCGTCCGCCCCCAGGCGCCGCAGCCGAGCCCCGAGCGAGCGAGCGAGCGAGCGGGCAGGCAGGTGCGCGCGCCGCCCAGTCCGGCTCTGCCGAGCGCCGATGCCGCCGGGCCCGGCCCGCGAGGGGCGCCGCGGCGGGGATGGGGCTGTCCCGGGGGCTGCGGTGCTGCCAGCGCGTCTTCGGCTGGGTGCCCGTCCTCATCATCGCGCTGGTGGTGCTCTGGTCCTACTACGCCTACGTCGTCGAGCTCTGCCTGGGTAGGAGGGCGCAGCGGGCTCCGGACCCATCCTCCCCGGCCCGGTCTGGAGGGGTGCTGGACTACAACTCCCATCCTCCCCAGCCCGGTCTGAAGGGCTCTCTCCTCCAGGGGTGCTGGGCTACAACTCCCATCCTCCCCAGCCTGGTCTTCTTCAAGGGCCCCTCCTCCAATTGTGTTGGGCTACAACTCTCCCAGCTGCCTTCTGGGGACTGAGGATGATGGGGACTGTAGTCCCAGACCTCTGGGGACTTCCCGGCAGGAAATCTTGGGGGGGGGTTGGAGGTGGCTAATTCCCAGGTGGGGGGGGCGCAGAACAACCTCTGTCCAGCGTTGCTTCCCAGATCTTCCAAGGGGGGGAGGTCCGAGGGGAGCCCCTGCCCTCTGGCTGTGCCTGGACAGGTCGCCCCCAACTCCTGCCCAGGTGCCCCGGCAGTTCTGGTGGTGAGTGGCCCCCTCGCCCACGTAGGAGCCTTTTCCCCCCCAGGCATCCTAACCTAGCAAACACGTCCTGGCTTTTCTTTTTGCCTTGCAAAGAAGCAAAAATGTAGCAGGTTGGTTCTTGCCCAGCTCCCTTTACACGTCTCCGCCTGTGGGGTGTGCAAAGCCAAGAAGTGAGCATGTTTGGGGGGCTCCCTGGGACTTTCTTTCTACATTAGAAGCAAGAAGAGTAACTGGTTGACCTTAGGCAGTTGGTTTAAAGCCAGGGTGGGGGACCATGACCCTTTTATGACTTGTGGACTTCAACTCCCAGAATCTGGCTCAGGAATTCCGGGAGTTGAAGTCCACAAGTCATAAAAGGGCCATGGTTCCCCACCCCTGGCTTAAAGCCAGACTAGCCTCTCTGGGGTAACCTGTGGGATCATTTGATTGGATGCTGCTCTCACCTGACTTCATAACTTCCCCCTCCTTGAACCAATACATGTGCTGTGCAAAGAGAACCAAGATGCAGGTAAAACCAGCTTGCATGGTTAGTGTATCGGGCTGTGTGTGTCTCAAATATGGTGTGTAAGAAGTGCTTCCAACATCATGCACTTCTGAGCTGCATTAAAGCAGCTATATTTTTTTGTTTGTTTCCGTGAGAGCTTGAAGAAAAAAAGGTGCTGCTGCTTTAAGCATCTCCTTTACTTTTAATGCAATGCTTCTCAACCCCAGCAATTTTAAGCTGCATGGACTTCAACTCCCAGAATCCCCCAGTTTGGCTGAAACCAAGCCAGTTGTCTTTAGCAGAAACACTGTGTTCACATTAGGGCAAAATCATTTCTCTTCCATTGTTTTTGGAAGCCTGCCGAGTACAATTTGTTTAGGATTCAGGGTACCATATCAACACAGGCAGTTGGGGAGGTTTCTTACAACAATCTGCTAAGGTAGCTCAGTGTGATTATCAGAGCACTACAGGGAATGGGGGGAGGGGTTAAATTTGATTAGGACTTTGTTAAAGCTATGTGGTAAATTTAAGGCAGGCCCCACTTGGTTCTTAACAATTGGATTTTGCAGTATCTAAAAAGGTTAAATCATGGCAATTGGACCAAAGTTTATTAAATTGAGACGTTTTGTTAGTCATCCAACTAACTTCTTCAGTCAAAATGAAAAAATTAAGTTAGGCAGAGTTAGAGAGTAGCTGGAATGTATTAACTCTTGCCATACCAACTGCAATGGTTTCTCCCCAAAATGTATTGCAAAAGTAAATGAAGACTCAATCAGGCCAAAAGCATTTTAAAAGGTTAAATCATGGTGACCGGAGCAAAGATTGTTAAAACATCTGGAGTCTGCAGTCTCCACTTAGGCCTTTTAGTTCTGACTGCTACATTTCATCATTCAGGAGAGAAAAGATAGATAACCCCCCAACCACTAATGTATTGGAAGCAAGTTCCATAGTTGAGATGTCTGCAACACAATTCCCTCTTCTGTTGTGACTCATTCCTTTGTGTGGCCTCCTAGGTAGACTGGAGCAAAAATCAAAGAGGTAGTAAAGCTCTTGGTCTCCAGAAAATAGCTCACCCATTTATTTACATAATGATCCTTGTTGGAGAATTGGGAGAGAAGATAGACTGTTGTCCCAGCAACCGGCAGATGAAGCCAGGACATGAAATCAAGGGTGGGCTTGCGCAGTCTTGCTAGAGGAGGAAGAAAAAAGAACAAGCCTTCAGGGAGCTCTAAAGGTAGAAAGATCCCCGTCTCTTCAAGAGGCCCCTGACGGTGGTGGCACCAGAGAGGACCAACAGTATTGACCAGCAGCTCACCTTCACTTAAGGAGGGAACAGACTGGGCTGTAAAATTGTTTCAAAGCAAGTGTGAGCCACTCCGTTTATACAGGAATTTAGAGCAGCTGGTGGTTTGTTGAAAATCACATAGATTCAGTTAATTAATACTGAGTTTGCATCACAGATAATTTGCCTCCAGCTCAGTTTTTCAGATTATGTGTGCATGCACAAACCTGCTGTCCCAGAAAGGTTTGCCTTGCCAGGCTCACTTAACTTTGGCAAACAGCAATATGGGCAAAGCCTGTGCTTTTCTTTATACCGAGGGGCCGTAGTCTGCAGCGGCATTCTGCGTCTCGGCAGAAACCCATGATACTCCTGAGGGGTAAGACGAAGGTGCAGCTGTGAGATTGCCTCCCAGAAGTGCTTTCTACCTGATACCCAAGCAAGGAAGAGTAAAAGGACTCATTTTTGTTATGTTTACGCAGTGTATATTGAAGGTGGTTACCCTTTGAGAGCTATGTGCAACAAACTCTCATTTTAATGTATGCTGATTAGTGTACATTTAAAGTGACAATAAAGCTATTCTATTCTATTCTATTCTATTCTATTCTATTCTATTCCATTCCATTCCATAATAGGGTATCTGCTGTCCTTCTGTCTTCAGAGCCCAAACATCTCTGCACTCCAGTGCCACAAAATAATGCAAAAATTAATAAACAGCTACAGAAGGGCTTTTTTGAAAGGCAGTTTCCTTGAACTTGCTGCCAGTTACAATCCTCCTTCCACATCCTGTTTTGGAAAATGAGGCTGTACCTTGCAGGTTTGGGGGAAGGAAGATGCAGCCTGAGCACCAAAGGGGGGGGGGGTGAACAATTCCAGGAGTTCAAGCAGCCACATAAGAGACTATTTGGAGTTGGTGCTGAATGTCAATAGGAGCCCAGTAGATTTGGGGGGGGGGAGTCAAGCTCTCAGCAGCAGATTCAGCAGCAGCAAGATCTCACCGAATTGTCTTTAACAAGGTTATTGGAAGGGAACGGGATAAGGTTACAGAAATTTCTGCAACAAGATTGCTTTTACTTTAGGGCTGGAAGGGATCTTAGAGGTCTTCTAGTCCAACCCTCGCCCCAAGGCAGGAGTCTTTATACTATCCTGCACAAATGGCTGTCTAATCTTTTCTTGAAAACCTCCAGTATTAGAGCATCCACAAATCCGGGATGATCTGTTCCATTGCTCTCACTGTCAAGAAATCCCTCCTTAGTTCCAGATAGGATTTCTCTTTAATGAGCTTCCACCCATTTCTTCTTGTCCTGCCTTCAGGTGCTGTGGAAAATAGCTCGACTTCTTTTGTCTGTGACAGCTCTTCAGGTATTGGAAGACCGCTATCATGTCACCCCTAAGCCGTCTCTTCATTAGGCTAGACATAAATAAATAATAGAATAACAGAGTTGGAAGGGACCTTGGAGGTCTTCTAGTCCAACCCCCTGCTCAGGCAGGAGACCCTATACCATTCCAGACAAGTGGCTGTTCAGTCTCTTCTTAAAAGCCTCCAGTGATGAAGCACCCACAACATCTGAAGGCAAAGCTGTTCCACTGGTTAATTGTTCTCATTGTTAGGAAGTTTCTCCTTAGTTTTAGGTTGCTTCTCTCCTTGATTAGTTTCCAACCATAGTTTCTTGTCTTGCCTTCTGGTGCTTTGGAAAATAGGTTGAAAACCCCCCCCCCCACTTCTTCTTTGTGGCACTCCTTCAAATATTGGAGGACTGCTATCATGTCGTCCTTCCTTTCACTAGATTAGACATACCCAATTCCTGCAACTGTTCTTCCGGTCAAGGTAGATACCTAGTTTCCTTAACCATTCATCATATGGTTTATCCTGCAAACCTTCTTATCGACTTTGTTGCTCTTCTCTGCACTCTCTCTAGGGCAGGGGTGTCAAACTGCCGGCCTATGGGCCGGATGCATCATGCTGAAACCGCGCCCACCCCATTGCCAGCAATGGAAAAAAAGTTGTGATACGTCGTGACACGTCACGTGACGTTGCAAGTTTGACACCCCTGCTCTAGGGCCTCAATCTTTTCTGTATCGTGGTGACCAGAATTGAATGCAGTATTCCAAGTGTGACCTCACTAATGCAGTAAAAAGTGGCATTATCACTTCTCATGATTTAGAACCCAACTGAAGTTTCAGCAGATAATTTTTCAGTTTTTAATATGGGCTTTTCTCTGAAGGAAAGAGCTAGCTGCTTTCTTCCCAAAACAGGAATTTGCAGGTGGCTGCTGTTTTCCCAACCATCTCCTGAATCTTAATTAGGCTATAAACAGATAATCACAGTTGTGGAGTTAGTGCTTCCTTTTGCATCACACCCATTTTTCCTTGGCTGTTCCTGGCCTTCAATTCATTTTTTTCCTAAGTGAATCATGCATGGTACTGCATTATTTCCTGGATATAAAGAATAGGTAGATTGTTAGGATTAATTATCAAGGCATGTCACTTTTAGCCATTCAGACTTTCCATCATTTTCCACAGCAGGCTGCATGGATGTCTGGTTCAAATTTGAATCCAAATGTCAGTTGCATAGCCCTGTGTTGAGTAAGGCCCAGATGTATGCTCTGTGTGTGTTTTCATGATGCCCTGTTCATTCATTCATTCATTCATTGACTTCTTTCTGCCCTCTCCTTCAAAAAGAACCTTTCCAGCACCACTATTCTGCTTTAATACTCTGCTTAGTCCTTGGAGAACTTCTCAGCCTAATTATTGTTGTGAGGATAAAAGGTGACCAAATCCACAACGAAAGAACCTGCGATAAACAAAGTATTTGTAAATATACAATGGTCTTTTCTTTTCCAGTTGAGAAAAAGGGTAAAGCCATTTTGCTTCAACTTGTTACTGTATACCTGCTCAGAATGAAGCCACCTTCTTTTGAGGAGAGAAAGATTATAAAAGTAACTTGGAGCATGGCAAGTGATTTTTGCAGTACAGCAGCTGTGACACAGCAGAAAAGACAGTTGGTTTTTGGCTGCTCTGTCCAGAGGCATATCCTGGCCTTCCCTTCTCCTGCCTTGAAAGAGAAGCAGTCTTGGAAAGGATGGAAGCCCCGTCCAACTGAATGTGGGCAGGTCTGAATGTCTTTGAACTGGTGTAAATGCTGATTCACAGGTTAGCTTCAAGAAGCAGGCAGGCAAATGAGTTGGACCGGTAGTTCAAGAAGGAGCAAAAGATAAATGAGATCTATTATTATTACTGCTATTCTCCTTTATTAATATTATACACCAAGTACGGTAGGTAAATAAATAAACAGATGTAATCTTTCAAAATCATCTAATTCAGATGGAAAAAAGAGCAGATCCTGACCTCATTCATGAAAGTAGAAAAAATGGAAGAGTAGAATAGAGTAGAACTTCCATGGGAGGCTTAGTAAATCTGTAGCAGATCAGCAACCAGTTCCCGACCCACTTGAATCCCCCCTCAAGCTCTCATCCTTTCCATGAATGAGCTTGTTGAAAAAGAATCTTGCTTAAGTCTGGCAAGATTCTGTCTGTAGGGGAACAACAACAAAGTAGCTACTCAGAAGTAACTCCATGTGCCATGCTTGGTTCTTGGGGGTCTTACAGTTGTAAGGATAATGAATCAAGTGAATAAGTGAGTATCAGTGCAGTGGAATTAATAATATAATGATTTATGACTCATAAAGTAAAAATTAATTTCAGACACGGTCAACGTATGCATAAAGGCAAGCATATTTTTTTGTGGAAACCTTGATATGCCATTTGAATATGTTCTCTTTTTTCTCTTTCAGTGACTCTGACGAACTCTGTAGAAAAAGGTACGTGGATATTTATTATATCTGGTCTTTGTACTTTAGATCTCTTTGCAGTCACCTCCGGTGATGATCCAGTGTGATTATCCCAGTGTAGACAGAGATGGGAAGGGCTGGTTGACCGGACTTTTCCACCTCAATTGCAGTTGAGGTTGATGGAAATGCAGAGGATCCCCAGGCCCTGCCTAAAATAAGACCTTGGAAGTCTCCACCACTCCTGGATGGATGTAAGCAAGTCTAGGTTGCACTCCAGTAATTAAGGGAACATGCAAGGGAGTAGGTGGGCCTTGGAGATCCAGTGTCTAATTGCTTGCTTAGCCAGGACGCTTGAGTGATTATTTTATATTTTATATATTTTATATTTTATTTTATTCTGTCTTGTCTTATTTTTTATTTTATTTTATTTTGTATTTATTTTAATTTTATTTTTTATATATTTTTATTTTATTTTATTTTAAATTTTAGCTCCCCATCTTACTACGGGGGTAGCTCTGGGCAGCTTACCATAAGATTCAGCTCCCCATTTAAGTTGAGTGGAAGTCTTAGCAGTTCTGAGCTTGGGGAAGGGTTAGATTCCTTTCCTCCATAGTCCCTTTCTTGACTGAATCCATATCCTCCCCCTCCGCCTCCCTCTGCAGCTTGTGTTTGAAACTATATCATTTCTTTTTTTGTATTCCTGGCCAGTTGAAGAAATCAGTGCTCATAATATAGCAAGAAATGTAATTTGCTTTCTCGTGGGATGGTTGTTTTTTTCTGAGGCGTCTCACTTCCCATAATAAGCATTTTTTCTTCTTTTGTTCAATCATGTCCAATTCTTGGAGACTGCCTGCAGAAGTCTCTTCTGTTTTCTTGGCAAGTTTTTTTCAGAAATGGTTTTCCATTGCCTCTTGTCTTGGGCTGAGAGAAAGTGACTAACCCAGTTCTAGTCCTAGCCTAAGGTAGGACTAGAACTCACGGAATCCTCTTTTCTAGCCAGAGGCCTTAACTAGAGTTGCTTTGAACCACAAGCTGGGTGGCATATAAATTTAAATAAATAAATAAACCCTGGCTCCATATGGATTCTCCCCAGTCTTAAGCATAGAGACACGAAGAGAGGTTTATATTGTTTATTGTGAAAGTCAAGGATTCTATTAAAGGCTTAAGAGCAAAATGGGCATTTCTGCTTCCTTGGTTAATGCTTTTCTTCTTGTTTAGTGGCCTACCTCACCGTATTCCATATCATCTTTGTATTCTTCATATGGACATATTGGAAGTCTATATTTACTCCTCCACTACAACCAGACAAAAAGGTAAAACTCGGGAATTTTATAAAGGGACTAACCAGTCTTCCCCAACCTGGGTGCCTTCCAAATGTGTGTCTGTGGAGATTCTCAGCCATCCAGGTCCTGGTTGTCCCAAAGGGGCTTTTTCAGGAGGCAACTGGACTTTCTTGGTTTTTCTTTGAAGACGTTTCGCTTCTCATCCAAGAAGCTTCTTCAGTTCTGACTGGATGGTGGGGAACGGAAGGATTTATATTCCTTGCAGACAGATGGTCATTTGCATTCTTTTAAGAGAGTCGTTGAGGCTACTTGGAGGTTTTCTGTGTCCTCGGGGTCACCTGAGTAGTTTTTATTTAAAAAAAAACATAAACACTTGGCACAGCATAGGACAGGGGTAGGCAACCTCGGCTCTTTTATGATTCATGGACTTCAACTCCCAGAATTCCTGAGTCAGCATAGGAGAACAAACCTATCAGGACAAGATTCAGCAGTCGCATAGCCAGATCTGAGAATTGGGCACCCAAATACCTAAGTTCAACTTTTTCCCTCCCTTAACTGCCTCCCACTGCTGCCCCCCCCAATGACCAATCAGGTTCAAGCAAGATGGTTTCAGAACGGTCACTTCAAACGTAGGTTGGTATGCAGCTGCCTTGTTTTCCCAGAACCAGGAATTCTGGGAGTTGAAGTCCACAGGTTCATAAAGCCCACATAAAGGGGCCATAGTTCCCCACCCTGTTCTACAACCATGTGTGTGTTTCACTTTTTTTCTTCTACTGCCAGTTCCACATGTCGTATGCTGACAAGGAACGCTATGAAAACGAAGAAAGGCCCGAGGGTCAGAGGCAGATCCTAGCAGAGATGGCCCGGAAGTTGCCAGTTTACACAAGAACAGGGAATGGCGGTGAGTTTCTAAGATGGCTTGGGCAAAGTCCACCTATGCAGCAACTCATACTGACACCCCGCTTTTGGAGAACTTTTGGGGTGACAGACAGCGTCATCAAAATCAGTGATGACAAAATGTTTGGCTTTTGCGGTAAAGGTGAAAGACAAATAAGGCATTCATTCATTCCGGCTCTTAAAATCAAAATATAGGCCTTGTGACAACATTACAGCCTTTTCCCTGGCTGGTTTTATCATTTTCACTCTAGCTAAAATTTACACTGTGATTTCTAGATGCCAGTTGGAATTGGAAAACTCGAGGTGGGGTGAATTCAGATCTGGGGAAATTGTCCCTTCTGGTTGGTAATTCTGGAAACCGTCATCCAAAATATATCTGGAGGGCACAAATTGAGGAAAGCTCATCTAATGATTGCTTGTTTTGCTATTGAATGTAAAGGTGTCCACTATTGAATGCACTGGGTTTTTTTTTTTTCTGATTCTTGCTTCTGATTTCATAGGAGTGGATAGTGAATAAATAATAGCAGCATTTATATTCAGGATGAACAGTTACATGCTGAAATTCAGTGGTAAATCCATGGCAAATGAGCATCATGATTTGCCATTTGTATCCAGTAGGGACTAACAAATCATTAGAGAAGCTTAGTTCACATAAAAAGCATGGTAGAATCCCCTGAGAAGCTGTACCAAAAAAGCTAAAGGAATTGGACCCACTCTGATATAGGAAGTTGACCAAGCATCCCAGAAAGAGGAAGTGTTAAATAGCTTCCGTTGTCAAGAAATGATTTTGTCCATAAAGTCATCAGCTCAGTCTGAATGAAGCACGTATCTCTGCAGCCTAATTTGTCTCCTATAGCATTCAGCCACCTAGAAAGTATAATTCCCTGGTTTATATAAGGCACTGCCTATATTCAAAGTAACCCTCAAATCTTGCCTTGGTCCCACGTTTCTCAAAGTTGGCAACTTTAAGATATATGGACTTCAGTTCCCAGAATTCCCCATGCTGGTTGGGAATTCTGGGAGTTAAAGTTCACACACCTTAAAGTTGCCAAAGTTGAGAAACACTGCCTTCTAGTAACAAGTTTATAAGACAGATTTTGCACTCGTGATAATGATTAACTAGGGGCATTTTTGTCATGTTCCTTCCAGCCATCCGATTCTGCGACAGATGTCAGCTGATCAAACCTGACCGTTGTCACCATTGCTCAGTTTGTGCTGTGTAAGTTTACTCTTTTCATCCATAACCAATGCGGCTTGAAGGCTAGCTCAACAATTGTGCAGGATGTTGTTGACTGGACACATAAAAATAAATAGTTTTGCTTGCTCTTGATTGCACAACTTGACATATACCACTTCCCACCCCACCCTCAGGGACCCAGTCCTATCCTCTGTGTGTGTCTGTGTCTGTCTATCTATCTTATCTATCTATCTATCTATCTATCTATCTATCTATCTATCTATCTATCTATCTATCTATCTATCTATCTATCTATCTATCTATCTATCTATCTATCTATCTTATCTATCTATCACTTTCTCTATCATCTATCTGCCTGTCTGCCTACCTGCCTATGTGCATGGACATTCTGAAGATTTTAATTACATCAGTGAAAGCAAATACAGACTAAACTCAGAGAGAGGAAAAGTATAAAGAAAAAAATAAGTGCAAAAAAGATAAAGCAAGATTAAAAAGAAATACATGAAGAAGTGACTTTGGCTGTATTAGAAATAATTAATGTCATGTATTGCTGAAGTTAACTTTCTAAATTTTCATACAACTCAAGGAAGAGGACTTTAAAAAAAAGAATAGAGAGAGAAGGGAAGAAGCTACGTTGGTAAACATCCCAATGTTATTCTTATCTTGGAGATTTTTCAGGTTTAAAAGGTACAATTGGACAGTCTGTTTATAATGAAATGCATTGGAACAATGAAACAATAGTTTTTCTCCTTTTGAAAATTATAAATGCCAGCAATGAATTGGATCTGACTTTGGCACTGACTGGAATGCAGGACTTGTTTGCAAGAGAGCAGACAAAACATGGTCATCTGCCTGCTTATGCCTTGACTTGTTAGCTGATGTTAGAACGGATGCAGAATAATGACATGCCAGCTTGGAAGGGTTGCCAAATTATAGGTTTGATTCGATTTCCCCAAAATAAGAAGCCCTTTGTTCTTTCCCAGGAGCAAAACACTAGTTGCTATGACAGATGAGGAATGTGTACAAAGGAAGCTTTATGCTGTAAATATCCCAGCTCACGTATACGTGATCCGTGCTGCCAGATCCACCAGTTTGAGCCTGCTAATGTTTGTCAGCCTTGCCAGGTAGAACAGTTAGGATACACGGGCAGATAACCTAATTCTACTTTATTGTACAGCTGCATTAACAGAATCTTGCAAGTCTGAAAGTACATTTCTCTTGCTGTTACCTTTATGCAGGTAGCCCTTGAGTGAACAGCAGCCCTTGAGTTAACAGCAGTCCATTTAGTGATCGTTCAAAGTGACTTAAGACCATTTTTCACACTTATGACCACTGCAGCACCCCCGTGGCCGTGTGATTTATATTCGGATGCTTGACAACTGACATGTATTTATGACGGTCGCAGTGTCCCAGAGTCATGTGTTCCCCTTTTGCAACCTTCTGACAAGCAAAGTCAATGGGGAAACCAGATTCAGTTCATAACAGCCGTGTTACTAATTTAATAAATGCAGTGATTCACTTAGCAGTCAAATGGGGCGAAGCTCACGTAAGAAATTTCTCACTTAATAACATTAATTTTGGTCTCAGTTGAGGAGTACCTATAGTCTGTTAGCATAAGGAGAATCCCTCCTGAGCCTTTCCCCCCCATCCATTATGCAGCTGTGGGCTCCGCTCCCTTTTATCTGTGGGTTCTCCGGGTAGTTAGTATCTCTTCATGATACCATGGTCATTCATACATGCCGTTACATGTCTCTAGATTAGACTCTAGTCCTGTTTCTCTTTTGCAGAGGATCTTCTGGGCCTTAGTCAAAATATTGAGTGAGAAGATGTTGGAAACTGACACACATTTAGACGCCCAAGAAGGCTATTGGAGATTATCCTGCTGTGTTTACCAGTCAGAAGGCCCATTAGCTGTGCTGAGAAACACAGAGGATAGGAGAAATGGTATTCAAAGGACTGCAGGCAGGGTTGACTCTCTTTGAAAAATTAGCCTAATGGTGGGTTTTTGCTTGGGAAAAGGTAATGTTCCCTGGTGAAATTGGCCCCTTTGTAACACCCAAAGGGCCCCCTTCCCTTCTCCCTTCCCTGTTCATCCTGCCTTGTCTTCCTTTGTGATTTTATAGACAAGGCATCAGCTTTCGCAGGCACATAATTTCAGTTATTATTGCAGGGGTGTGTGTGTTATCCAGTACCTTTTTTTTTTTAGTTGTATTGTTTCTGGCAGGTATAGATAGAAGAATATACTTGTTGGGGAGGACAAAATCTCCAAGCTAACTTTGAGCTGAAGGGGGCAACCTTCAGTTAAAAAAGAAAATGGATGAGCTTGGCATTGCATAGAATTTTTGTGGATGTTTATTTTTATCTGTAGATTATTGAGAGAGTATAAATATCCCTTCTATAGAATAAAAATGGGAATGGGGATAGAATAGAATAGAATAGAATAGAATAGGACAGGACAGGACCGAATAGAATAGAACAGAACAGAACAGAACAACAGAACAGAATAAAACAGAATAGAATTCTTTATTGGCCAAGTGTGATTGGACGCACAAGGAATTTGTGTCAGCTCTGAGTGTGCATACCAACAGTAAAGTGATAGGTCATAGACATATATCCTACATCATAGTTATAATCATTAATCATAATATACAACAACGTCATAAATCATAGGCAGAAGGTAGTAGTAAGCTGGGAAGGTGAGGAAGAGGAGAAGATAAGAAGGATAGTATCAAAAGAGCCCTACTACTTGGGTAAATGAAGTTTATATCTTGACTGTCAGCAACGTTTGCTTGGTACCCAGAGCAATTTTCTGCATGTCTTTAAATCTATGCAAACCACCTTATTCCCCTGAACAGCTGGTAGCCAACAGCTGCATCCCTTTTTCAAAGGATAACCAAGATGTAAGATACCACAACCACGTTCTGTGTTGTACATGCAATAACAAAAAGCCTCACAAGGGGGCGTCATGACAAAAGAGAGTTCCTGGGAAATTTAATTGCAACCTGGAAATTTTATTGCTCACTAATAAATGATATCACCTTGGAGAAAACAAATAGAATCCTGGATTATGAATAATCCAGAAAAGAACAAAGACGTCTGTGGTTTCTGCTTCTTTTCCTCATGTGGTCCCTGACATTTTTCTCTTTTTCTAATAGGTGCGTGTTAAAAATGGACCATCATTGCCCCTGGTAAGGACTCTTGAGGAGAATCATTTCATTAATCCACCATATAAACATTAAAGTGTTTCAGGGACAAAGCGGCATCAATTTCTGAAATTGACCAGCTTACTCCACCAACACTGCTTAAAATTTAGAACTCCAACTTTGGTTCAGCTACTCCAATAAACATTCATATGAAACAGCGCGCATGCGCGCACACACACACAAATTAATATGCATAGAAATGTACAAAAATATGCCATGGATCCATTATGCATTATGCACATGAAATGGCATTCTTGATGCAAAGCATGGCACCTTTTCACCACTGGCCCAATCCATTTGTGCTTTTGCCAAATGAAAACAATATCCCATTGGTGAGTTTACACTATTTCCGTTTCTGCTACTCAGAAAGTAGGACTGGGTGTTATATCTCAAGTATAAAAGTTCAGTGTTAATTTTTGCCCTTCCCAAATCTAGAAAGGAGGTTCAGAATCTCGTATTAACAGGAATTCTCATTTTACCTCTCTTTGGTGCAGGTTCTCTTTACCTTGGTATATTTGCACCGATATGTTTTGAGGAGATTCCACAAATGCATAATAAATGGAACCATGCAATCTTGCCATATGTGTTCCAGCTACTTGGTTTTATTTCTTTGATCTTACTCTCCACAAAAATGGAGGCACAGAATGTCTTCCCAATAAGTTTGAACTAGAGGGATTTAAAAAGAAAATAGAAAAAATCTAAACTATGCAAAAGGGAATTGTAGGCCTGGGCGTTGTTACGAAGAGAAAGGAGCATTTTCGTGCATTGGTTTCTTAGGTTTGTATTTTAGGTCACTGTTTCTCAACCTTAGCAACTTTAAGAGGTGTGTGGACTTCAACTCCCAGAATTCCCCAGCCAGCAAAGTTGAGAAACACGTCCATAGAGCAAAGCAAGATCTGTTTTTCAAATATTATTCATTCCCTGGGGCCTTTCAAAGAGTTAAAACTCTAAAGCAGTGTTTGTTGACCTTGGCAAGTTTAAAATGTGTGCACTGCAACTCCCAGAATTCCTCAGCCAGCCTTGGGAATTGGTCCGCACATCTTAAAGTTGCTAAGGTTGAGAAACACTCATTTAGAGATTTCAGATGCTTTCCAAGTTAGAGATAGTTACAGTAAGAAAAAATGTAGTTATGTATGCAGATCTAGTTCATTCTCTATGAATAACTAGATCAGGGGGTGTCAAATTGCCGGCCCATGGGCCGAATGCATCATAGCAAAACCACACCACCCCATTGCCGGCAGTGGCAAAAAAGTTGTGATACGTCACGACACATCACGTGGCGTTGCGAGTTTGACACCCCTGGACTAGATTAAAGATGCAGCAAGAATTACTCGATGAAGGCTGGAATACACCATGAAATGAAATGAATATTTACAAATTACTGGAAGGATAAAACCAGATCTTAATAATGAAGAAGGGACATGAAGAAAAAAGAATTTGAAATACTTGTACATTAGCTGGACATTCTGGAGAAGATTGGTCAAATTCTGGGCTCTGTGCAGTGGTACAGAAATTAAAATTACATTGGAGGCTTTCATTTTTGGACATTTCGTATCCAGGAGAAAGAAGAATACAAAGAATTATTAGGGAAGAAAATTATTGTCCCAGTTTTCTTAAGCAAGGGCTAAAATGCAGTAAAACAAAAATGTCAGGTCTAACCATATCCTAGTTTGGAGGGCAATTTAAGCCTTGATCTGAGGTCAGTGTCTAGGGAGGGAATTCAAACTGCTTCTGGAAGAGGCAGGTACACCTGGGAGGGAGGGAGGGAATTGGGTGGGCTGGGACCGTGCCCAGGGACTGTACACAGCTCTGGGCCCACGGACTGTGTACGCAGGGACTCTTCTGTGGGCTGGGGGTTGGCATTGGGCCGCCTCAGAGAAACAAGGGTGCTTGTTGCTGCTTTTGCTTTTCATAGCATCATTTCTCCAAATGTATTTTGATTTCACCTTCCTTCTTATTTTCGTCATTTTTTTTCCTTTAGGGTGAACAACTGCATCGGCTTTTCTAACTACAAGTTCTTCCTACTGTTTTTAGCCTACTCTCTGTTGTACTGCACGTTTATTGCAACAACAGTCTTCAAGTATTTCATCAAATACTGGACAGTAAGTTGGGGAACCTGATTACTGCTTCCTTTCTGCATATCATTGGAGTCTGAAATCTTCCGGACTCAAAACCAGTGCTATGATCCAGGGGGAACTCACCCCTTTCCGAACAGAAGACCAACGGAAGAAAGTTGCCATTGTGCAAGGGATTACTACAGTCATAACCTTTCAAAACTGGGGAAGTTCATTTCTACTTCAGTAGCATTTTAGCAATCTGGGTCCTTATTTTTCGATCTCGGAAGGATGAAAGGATGAGTCAACCTTGAGCCGGTCAGGATCGAACTGCTGAACTGCTGGCAGGCAGCAGAAATAGCCCGCAGTACTGCATTCTGACCACTGTGCCACTACGGCTCACAGTGTTCAAGCGAGTGTCCTTCCCCATTTATCATTAAAATATATACTGGAACATATTCCTCATTCAGCTGTTTTGTCTTGTAGACAGTATCAGTATAACAGAGTTGTAAGGGACCTTAGAGGTCTTCTAGTCCAACCCATGCCTAAGCTGGAGACTCTATTCCGGGGGTAGGCAACCTTGACTCTTTTATGACTCGTGGACTTCAACTCCCAGAATTCCTGCGCCAGCATGGCTCAGCTTGGAAACCTCTCCCTTTCCCCTCAGCACGGCTGGCTCAGGAATTCTGGGAGTTGAAGTCCACGAGTCATAAAAGAGCCAAGGTTGCTCTATACCATTCTGGACAAATGGCTGTCCAGTCTCTTCCTAAAAACCTCTGGTGATGGAGCACCCACAACTTCTGGAGGGAAGCCGTTCCACTGGTCAATTGTTTTCTCCATCAGGAAATTTCTCCTTAGTTCCAGGTTGCTTCTCTCCTGGATTGGTGGGGCCAGACAAGAAGGTTGCTGGGACCAGGTTGCTTCTCTCCTGGACAAGTAGTCCCAGCAACCTTCTTGTCTGGCCCTCAGCTGCCTTGTGGTCAGGGCTTCAGGGTCTCTATGCTGGGGGTTTCTGGGAATTGAAGTCCATGCTTCTTACATTTGCTGAGGTTGAGAAACAGTGCAGATAGTCCTCACCTTATGATCACAATTGAGCTCAAGGTTTCTGTTGCTGGGTAAGACAATTTTTAAGCGAATCACTACAATAGTTAAAGTAGTAACATGGTTGTTAAGCGAATCTGGCTTCTCCATTCATTTTGGTTGTCGGAAGGTGGCAGAAGGAGGTCACATGACCCCGGGACACTTCGGCTGTCATAAATACATGCGTCTGAATTTTGATCAGGGGATTTTGGGGATGCTGCAACGCTTGTAAGCGTGAAAAGTAGTCACATCACTTTTCTCAGGGCCGTTGTAATTTTGAACGGTCACTAAACGAACCGTTGTAAGTTGAGAACTACCGGTCCTCTAAAAACTGCCCACCAGCTATTGGAACAGAACTCTCTAATTCCCAGTGGCCTTGACCACAGACTAGCAGTGAGGAAGGCAGGGAGAGGCAATTCAGCCATGTCTGGAAGGCAACAGATTCCCGCCTGCTGGCCCATTATGGCTGGTAGGGATGTTCCCTGGTCCCAGGGATAGGCAACCTTGGCTCTTTTATGACTCCTGGACTTCAACTCCCAGAATTCCTGAGCCAGCCATGCTGAGGGGAAAGGGAGAGGTTTCCAAGCTGAGCCATGCTGGCTCAGGAATTCTGGGAGTTGAAGTCCACGAGTCATAAAAGAGCCAAGATTGCCTACCCCTGGCCTGGTCCTCCAGATCTGCAAGAACAAGAACACGCCTGCTGTTTTAATGCTCTCTGGATCTCTCCTTTCACGCTCTCTCGCTTTCCTTTGCAGGCCGAGCCAACCAGTGGTCATTCCAGGTTCCACGTCCTCTTTCTTCTTTTTGTGGCAGTCATGTTTTTGGTCAGCCTGTTGTTCCTCTTCGGTTACCACTGCTGGCTCGTCAGTCAAAACAGATCGACTCTAGGTAAGGCACTCACCCCTTCGGGAAGAAAGTTACGGGCAAGGCAGATTTGTACCAGCCCATTTTCAGTGACCAAATTGGCCGATAGGCATTCCAGAATCCAGGAAGGGTTCCCCAGCTCCCCACTCTGGAGTCCTGGAATCCTTGCACACATGTTTTTTTGCTTCATATTTGTTGCTTATTCATAGAATCATAGAGTTGGCAGGGATTTGGGGGGGGGGGGTCTTTTACCCCAGCCAAGAATCCATGTCCTCGATGGAGCCTCCATGAATCCAGGGGACAAGTGGTCCCAGCAACAAAGAGCTCTCACAGTCCAGAACAGTGTTTCTCAATCTCGACAACTTTAGGATGTGTAGACTTCAACTCCCAGAATTCCCCAGCCAGCGCTGCTTAAGGTTGTTAAAGTTGAGAAACACTGGTCAAAAAGTACTCCTTAATTCATTGGTTTTTGTTCTTATTCCACCGACATCTTTCTTTATGAAAAGGTATTACCCATTATTTTATTATAGTTAAGACGACCCAAGACCAGTTGGACCATCCTGTCAGATAGATTTCCTTTCCTAAACAGAGAATGCTGGCCTAACCCCCTGCAGTGTTGCTGATATGGTCAAAACTTTCCAAAATTTCATTCTCATAGGTGGAATGGAGCTGGCCATTCTATAAGTTAACCAGTTTGAGGCACGTAGGCCAGGGGTAGGCAACCTTGGCTCTTTTATGACTGGTGGATTTCAACTCCCAGAGTTCCTGAGCCAGCCATGCTGAGGGGAAAGGGAGAGGTTTCCAAGCTGAGCCATGCTGGCTCAGGAATTCTGAGAGTTGAAGTCCAGGAGTCATAAAAGAGCCAAGGCTGCCTACCCCTGGTATAGGGTCTCCTGCTCGAGCAGGCAGTTGGACTAGAAGACCTCCAAGGTCCCTTCCAACTTCAGTGTTCTACGTTCTATGATCCTCCTTACCCTACAGGAGGAAAGCCTGTTTGACATCTTAAAACATCTTCCCACGAGATTGTGAAAACGCTGGCTCAGATTCCGCTTGGCTGGCCGGCCTTCCGTGCTGAAACCGCAGGATGCTGTCAGGTGTCAGCTGATCTCTAGCAGGCGCTGCCCTGGAAAATCCTCTCTTATTGAGGTCCTTTTTCCAGTGCCTGAGACAGTCTTCTGTTTTGCTGCAGAGGCTTTCTCGGCTCCCGTGTTCTCCAGCGGCCCGGATAAAAACGGCTTCAACCTCGGCTTTGTCAGAAACCTCCAGCAAGTATTTGGGGAAGAGAAGAGACTCTGGTTTTTCCCGGTGATGTCCAGGTGAGTAGAAAGCAACCTGCCCATCAGCCGTGGAGATAGAATTTGAGTGCCGCTTCCCTCCTTTCCCTTCCCCCCCCCCAAGGGAAGGTTTTGGGCTGTGTAGGTGGGGAGAGGCCCCACGAAGCCGTGGGCCAGCTCTGCAAATCTTCCTTTGGATTTAAAAAGAGCCAGGGGGAAGCTGGTCGGCTGCAAAACAAAGCACCGACCTCTCTTGTCTTTGTTAAAAGAAATCTGCTGGCCTGGTTGGTATTTTCCCCAGGATGCCCTTCTGCCAGGGGATGGGATGGCGCAGCGGTTAAAGACCCTGAGCTTGTCAGCCGGAAAACTGACAGCCCGCGTTCAAGACCTGAGCGCTGCATGATGGGGTGAGCTGCCGTCCTTGACTCAGCTCCTGCCCAGCTAGCAATTTGAAAGCATGCAAATGCGAGTAGCTCAATAGGTACCACTTCATTGGAAAGGTCACAGCGTTTCGTGCACTTTGGCATATAGTCATGCTGGCCACATGACCACAGAAATGTCTTTGGACAATGCTGGCTCCCTTGATTAGGAGATGGAGATGAGCACCCCCTCACCCCACCCCCCACCCCCAGAGTCAGACATGACTGGACAGGGGAAACCTTTATCTTCTTGGTCCACTTGCTTAGACGAAGGGCCAAAATAACTCTATTCAGTGTCTTCCGGTGTGAACTTCCTGGTTTACCTTCTGCGAAAGAGCACATTCACGGCCGTTTGTGACTGTAGCCGTGACCTGCTTTACAAAATTCTATGTGTGCCCCAAATGGCTTCCCTCTGTTCCCTGACATCCTTCTCTCAGGCCTGGACCTTAATAACAGACTCATTGGAGCAGCCCTCTGTTTCCGTAAAGCTTCTGTTGCATTCCCGGTGGACATCCCGCAGATGCTCCACTGTTTCCTTGTTGAAGAGGAATACAGGAATTTCTTGAGGTCTTTTTGTTCTGGTTTAAAGACAATGAACCTTCCAAAGGCATTACAGAACACCGTACGAGGGTACCCGTCTTTGGTAACAGACCTTCCCCTGCAGTTCCCATTTATGGACTCAGACCCTCCGCTCTGGAGATGTGAGTCAGATGTCAGCAAAGACTAGAGGTAATTCTTGCTTAAGAAACAGCCACTTAATGACCATTCAAAGTTAGAATGGACTTACGACCTCTCCTCAAAGTTACGACTGCTGCCCCCTGCCCCCCATGTGGTCAAATCATCACATTTTGGGTGCTTTCCAACCAGCTCACTTTTACGACTGGTTGCAGTCTCCTGTGGTCCACATGACCGTGATTTGCAACTGTTTTGCTGTTTTCTGGCAGAAAACTTACCCCAAAACACCTATTGGATAGGTTGCATTTGCGTAATGACCACATGACTCTCTTTAACGGTTACAATGAGTCACTTTACAAACGTCATCAGAAAGGTCGTAAAATCGAGTCTCATGTCCTCGACCTAGGACAAATTATGACTAAAATGCAGGGCTCCATTGTGGTCAAAAGTCAGGGATGACCAGTTATTGTTAATTTGGAGGGTCAGCAGGCGCACGGGAGGAAGCTGGCCGGAGGACCCCTTTTGGACTCAACAGCCAGGTTCCTCCCAGTCCTGGGGCTGAGGAGAGAGCGGCCAAATTGCTCTGGACAGTAGGATGAAAATGATCTGGAGCAGATAAGCAGGCAGATGGACAGACTGGGCTGCAGGAGGCGCACCTTGACCGCCATACGGGCAATCGTCGACTTAACAACTATTCATTTAGTGACCTTCAAAGTCACAACGGCACTGAAAAAGGTGATTTATGACCGTTTTTCACACTTCGGACCCTCGCAGCGTCCCTGTGGTCACACATCAGAATTTGGCCATTTGGTACCTGGCTCAGGTTTATGACGGTTGCTGTGTCCCGAAATCCTGTGTCACCTTTTGCGACCTTTCGGCAAGCAAAGTCAATGCGGATTCACTTAACAACGGTGGCAAGAAAGGTCATCAAATGGGGCAAAACTCCCTTGTCTTGCTTAGCAGCGGAAATTTTGGGCTGCGTTGCGGTCATATGCCAAAGACTACTATATGTCTGCAGAAGAGCAACTAATCTAGCTAGGTCAGGGGTCTGCAACCTTGACCAACTTTTAAGACTTGTGGACTATGCTGGCTGAGGAATTCTGGGAGCTGAAGTCCACAAGTCTTAAAGTTGTCAAGGTTGCAGACCCCTGACCTGGGTTATATGTGGGAGCATTTGAAAGGAACGTTTGCGAGCATCGGAAGAGTCTGTTGCTCCTTTGCGATGCCTGATGCCAACAAGTCTCCTTTGTTATTGGGCAGTTTCCTTCTCTCCGGGGCCCCTCCCTCCCTCCCTCCCTCACCACTGGGCTGCCTTTCTCTCCACAGCCAGGGAGACGGGCACTCCTTCCCCATCCGAACCCAGAGCGAAGCCCGGAATCCCCTGCTGGCAAACGAGGAGCAGTGGGAGGATGAGGGGATGGAAGATGGCAGCCAGCAAGGTAAGAGCAGGGCACCCTGGGTGTGTCTCTCTGTGTCTGTGTGTGTGTCTGCTTGGGATCTAGGGTGAGCCATTGGTGCAGAGAAAAGGAGGGGGGGGCCTCTGGGGCAAAGTGGAGTTGAAGACAAGCATGAAGACACTGCAAAAGGCCATTGTGTGGACCTCGAGGCAGCAGCCTTTGGATGCCCCGGGTGAAATTTCTGCCTCTGTTTGCACCATTGTATGTGTAAAGTTGCTGCAGATGTTGTACTTTCTGATTTAGCTATCAAAAATAAAGGATGTCCCCCCCTTTGGGTCCATTAAGTCAACATTCCTCTGTTCCAGTGTTCCTGCTAGCTGGGGAATTCTGGGAATTGAAATCCCCCCTGTCAGTCCTGCCTCAGCTTGGACCTTTACGCAAGAACGACCCTCAACTCCATTTTGTGTGAAAGGTTTACGTTGCTAAAGGCCAAGCGGTGTACAGTACAGCACAGCCGGAACTGAGACTTGTGCACCAAACGTTGCCGGTTAACTTTCCCCCCTTTGTCCCTTCCCATTGTTGATCCCTCATTGTCCAATCATAGCCAGACAAAATGTTTTGGGAACGAACTCTTCAACTTTTGAGGAGGCGGTGCGGAGATGCATGCCTTTCCCGGATGAATCGTTAGCTTTCCCCACTTCCCATCCGGTTCCCTCCCCCCACAGTTCACAGCAGACTGGCAGCTAGCGAATGCGAAGCGCAGACGTGAGATGGCAGTTCTGACACACACCTCTTAAAGTTGCTAAGGTTGACAAACACTGCTCTGCACATTCAAAAGAGAGGAAAAGGGGGCATCAGTCAACCAAAAATGACCGGGGGGTGGGGGGGCAAGTCAGCAAGCCTGGGCCATTCGTTCTTGTGCAGCAGAAACAGAGATGGCCTTCTTACAGCCCCCCTCCCTCATCATTGAGGCAGATTTAGGGACCCCTTGGAGAACAGCCTTCCCATTTGCATTCTGGACCAGTTAGTTTTCAAGGGTAGCCCCACGCAGGGCACTTTGCAGTAGTCGAGCCTTGAGTAGAATTCCTCGAGTTATTCATTTAGTTTAAATTTGATATAGATGTAAGTTGAGCCTTGTATGGGCATAAATACATACACGGCACCTACTTTGCAAATCACAAGAAGTCTTTTTTCCCTTGACTCGTGTTTGTCCGTGTTGTTCTTCTTGCAAATGCTTTTGCAGATATCCCCAGTAGTTCCAGTGCAGGGTCCCTTCTTTCTTTTAAATTTTGTTTGAAAAGCAGAGTTTTATAAGATGAAGAGTGCCGCAATCAGCTATTTTAAAAAGTTACTCCTGTTCTCTGCGTCCAATCCAAGACCGCTTTGTTTACCAATCAAGTCCTATTCAACAGGGGACTTGAGAGGTTGCCATCAGGATCAGATTGATTGCAGGATTAGGGAACCGCTTGTCTTCCTGCTTCGGGGGTTAATGGCCCAGCACAGAAGGCTGCCTGAAAGGCGAGCAAAGGGACCGTTTTTTCCAAGCTGTAAATCTCAAGTGCCGTTTTTGCAAAGTGTAAGAAAGGCAGGGTGTGTATTTGCCCATACTTACCTAAACACGTATACAAATTCAGACTCTGCAAGTTGTTAAGCATCTTGGCTGCAGCCCTCCAGGCCCTCCAAATACTTTTTGCCAAATTTGCTTTTGAATGGTTTAAAAGGGAGCAGTGATTAAATACAGAATTGGGAAGTAATCACAATAATTCTGCTGAATTCTAGTTGAATGCAAATGACCTGCAATCTCCCTATGGCTTTGTAGAGTGTAGTCCCCAGCAGGCCATTCCAAGCCAAATAGACCCCCCGCCCCACCCCATCCGAGAGAAAAATCGGGCTCCCCAATGATTGGGAGCACAACTCTGAAAGGAGAGCAATCTCTGTCTTACTTGAGTGGACTTCTTTTGCTTGTCTGTCCAGATTACCAGCAAGGGACTTCTCTTTCCATCGAAATGGAGACGTAGCAGCTTTGAAGAGCTGAGGTTGTGCAACTCATGTGCTCTGGTAAGTGTTTCCTTCTTCAGATAAAAAAAAAGCTTAGCACTCTTCTTTCAGTTAGTTTTTTTTTTCATAAGATACTTGATCTGGACGTCTTGCCTCCAGAAGTCATGGGTGCTCCTTTGCTGGAGATTTTCAAGAAAAGGTTGGACCATTATTTATCTGGAATGGTCTACTAGGGTCTCCTGCTTGAGCAGGAGGTTGACTAGAAGACCTCCAAGGTCCCTTCCAACCTTGTTATTCTATGTTCTACAATCTTGGCAGTGGTAGACTATTCCCCCCAGCACAGGGGTTCCAAATTCATATGATTTCCCTGTGGGAAATATGGCTTGCCCATGTAAATGAACTCTCTCTTGGCCAGGAAAAGCAGCCGATAGAGCCCCAGATGCCATCTCCTGACACAAGAGTTAGAACAGGGGTTGGGGTCTTCAAACATGGCCCTTTTATGACTTGTAGACTTCAACTCCCAGAATTCCTCAGCCAGGCACGCTGGGAGTTGAAGTCCACAAGTCCTAAAAGGGCCACGTTTGAAGACCCCTGAATTAGAATAACAGAATATCCGAGTTGGAAGGGACCTTGGAGGTCTTCTGGTCCAACCCTCTGCTCAAGCAGGAGACCCTAAACCATTCCGGACAAGTGGCTGTCTCGTTGTTATACACCTCACCTTGAAGTAGCTCCTCCTCCCCAGCATAGCATCTTCCAAATCATCTGGGCCAAAGCTGGACTACCACCTTCTGCTTCTCAGGAATCCCAAAGTTGCTGGTGGGTGCCAGGTTGGAAAAAGCTGAACTGGAAAAGTCTTGACACGTTTGGTGCAAGAATGCCAGCTCCAGGAGAGGTCTCACCTTCCGGAGCTTGCCTAGAATCGGCACTGGGTCGGCCCCGATTCGGGTTCGATTCGTCCAGCGGTGTCTTTCTTTGGCCCGGATGCTCTTTCACAGCCAAGCCTACTGGACCCCCAAAATGGAAAGTGTGAGCTTTTCTTATGCCGCCTTGGGCTCTTGGGGAGAAGGCAGGACAGACGTCCACCAAATAGAAGAGGCAGATTTTGTGCTTCAGAAGAAGTTGGCTAACCTCTTGCAAATGATTGTGGTTTAAAAGACCCACAAGGCTTTTCCAGTAACTATTTCACCACAGGCCATTTGCTTGCAGGAAGCCACACCCACCCACCCCGCTCAACTGTGCCCCGCTGTGCCACATTTGCTGACGGCGGGTCTGCTCTTGAGCAGGGCATCTCCTGATGGTGCAGATATCTCTACGCAAACCAAACTTCGGAGCTGAGAAGCGTTTTCCTAAATCTTCTTGCTTAGTCTAAACCAGGGGTAGGCAACCTTGGCTCTTTTATGACTCGTGGACTTCAGGAATTCTGGGAGTTGAAGTCCACGAGTCATAAAAGAGCCAAGGTTGCCTACCCCTGATCTAAACAATGGAAGCTCAATACTTTTTCAGAAAAGATCTCAAATCTTCCGAGCCTGACCGCAAGAAAGAATGGAGGATCACCCTCCGATTAATGTGAAAATATAAGCGAGGGGATAGAATTTGCACTCAGGAAAGACGGAAGACAAGACCTTTGCCTTCCGTAGCCGTATCAGCTCCCAGAGAGCAGGAGAAAGCTGAGTGGCCAAAGGGCAACAGAGTGTGGTGTTAGGGAAACCACAATCCATAAAGGGATGCTGGTGGTCACCAACTTGCAATCATTTGTTTAGCAACGGTTCAAACTTACAGCAGCACTGAAAAAAGTGTTGTAGAGCAGTCCCCACACTTAGGATTTGGGTGGCAACCAGCCTGTTCTCACAGGAAACGGGACTTGCCTAATGAGAGCGCAGATCACTTAATTATAATGGTTCACCAAAGGCTGGAAAATCGGGGGAAAGATAGGGGGAAAGGTAGCAACACGGGGATCATGCCCTTTCTTTTTAAACTCAAAAGTTACACCGAACACGAGGAAGAGGAGGGGGACCAGAGAAACGGTCCCTTTGGAAAGCAGCATTCCAGGTCCAGTCCAAACCGATTGGCGCTTTCCTTTCCTTTGAAGTTTGCATCCCCAATTACAGATTTCATTCTGGAACATCAAATAGCAGCTACCGATGAAGGTTTTTCATCCAGGAAAGGAAAGAGCTGCCTTCTGCCCCTCCTCGCCCTCACTCTGATCTCGATCATTATCAGCACATCTGTGGCTGCAATTTCCTTTTTATTTCAGTGTGCAGATTAAATGCAGGGCTGCCTCATGTCCTGTCGAGTTTGGTCCTTAGGAGTCGAATAGAAATTCTTTTAATTAGACTCATTCTTATTCCCTTCTTTTCCTGCAACCCACTTCCAGCTTCCTCCCTGTCTCATTAGCTTCCTCTGGTGATGGAAACTCAGGAGGCATAAAAGAAAAAGCAGCACTTGGATCGGAAAAAGAAAAGCAACCTTGGAGGCTAATTCTCGCTTTCGGAGACGGCTCTTGAGGAGACAGTCCTTGGTGACACTTCCAAGGTTTGCTACACATTATGGATTTTTTTTTTTTTTTACATGGCAGCTCTGAAGTGATTAAGGCTATTCATGACCTTCTCTTTTTGTATGTCTTACCCAGAAGAAGGGAAAACTGCTTTGTGCAAATGCATTTCCAAGTGCCTTAAGGGGCATTTAGCTAACAGCCTGGACTTCGCGTTGTCTCGTTTTGCCAAATAGGAAGAACAGCTCTGTAAAATGGTTAAGTAGACTGCTCAAAACAAATCCTCTGGCGCAGGAATCATGGCTGCCAAATCAAGTCTTACTGCTGGAGAACTGGACGAACATGCACTGCTTCTGTAACCATAGGAAACCTCCACCCCCCCTCAGCCCTAAACGTACCCATCGCCAAAATTTTGATTTTGCTAAAAAGTCCGGCTCTTTTAATTTATCCTTTTTGATGTAAGCACAGTCCTCGTAGGTGCCTATAATTGTCTAAAATTCATTCAGAACAGCTTCAGCTATTGGACTAGTTTCTGTTATGAAAAAATAGTCTTTGACTTGCACAACGGTGACCCCGTCTTGTACTGTCCACGGAGGCTCATGTGACTACGGACTTCTTTGAACAGAACTTGCCTCCCCCACGCAAAAGTCAGCCTGCCAGGAGGAGAAAGCCTGGCCCCTGGTTTAGCATGCAGGGGAAGCCTTGCTTGGAGCCGGGCCAGCCTCACTTCACGGACTTTTAAACTCTTTGCATGATCTGATCAGGAATAAGATTTGTGTCTCTCTCTCTCATTCATTTTTTCCCAAGTACTTAAAGAAACTCGTGGATAGAGAAGTCCAAAAGGCTGGACTTCCCCCTGCCCCTTTAATTTGAGTGCTGGGTCACTTGATCTCAAAGGTTGGTGTTGCAAGAAGAGGTTTTGATCCAAGTAGGATTTCCCCCCCCCCAAGAGATTTCTCCAGCCTTTTCAGTGACCACGCAGAAATAGGTTCTATCTTCCCTCTTTAGAACTTTGGAGAAAAAACACCATAAGAGGAGATCATTGGAAATATGTTTTAGGCATCAACCATTTAGCCCAATGGGTTCAATCGGATCAGGGAGATGGGCTGTGGTGCAGCTCCAGGGGCTGGAGCTAAACCACTGTTCCCCAGTGCCAAGATGACGCCACCAAACCAGGCAACTGTCCCTCTCTGCTTATGCTACACTTGACCTCCAACCACACCTGTCAGCCACACAAGCAGATGAAAGTCCCAAAGGTGCTTTTTCAGGAGGCAACTGGACTTTCTTGTTTTTCTTTGAAGACGTTTCACTTCTCATCCAAGAAGCTTCTTCAGCTCTGACTGGATGGTGGGGAACGGAAGGGTTTATATTCCTTGCAAACAGCTGGTCATTTGCACTCTTTTAGAGAGTCGTTGAGGCCACTTGGAGGTGTCCCCCATTGTGGCCAATCTCTACATGGAACACGTAGACACCAAAGCCCTAAACTCCTTCACAGGAATTCCACCCGCTCATTGGTAAAAGTATGTGGACGATACTTGGGTCAAGATCAAAACACAGGAATTGGAAGCATTTGCCAAACATACCAACTCTGTGGACAGATACATCAGATTCACACATGACGATGTTAAGGGAAATAGTTTAACCTCCCTGGACTGTACAGTAGTCATTAAGGAAGATGGAAGCCTTAACACTGAAATTTACAGAAAACAAATCAATATTTACATATGATTCTCACCACATACTGAAGCACAAAATGGGAGTTATCAGAACCCTACACCACCAAGCTGAAGGCCTACCAGCAAAGGGAAAGAAAATGAACTAAAACACATCAAGGGAACCCTCAGAACGTGTGACTATCCCAAGTGGGCCTTCATCAAATCCCTCCCCCAAATACTCTGCAGGAACTCCTCCATAACAGACAAAGAAGAGAACAATAAATGAAGCAATGTTGTCATTCCATATGTTGCAGGAATATCTGAAAAGCTCAGGAGGATCTTCAGCCAACACAACATACGTGCACACTTCAAACCCACAAATACACTAAGGCAGAAGCTTGTCCACCCCAAGTATAAAACACCCAGACACAAACTAAGCAACATGGTATATGCAGTATAATGCAGTGAGCCATGTGCAGATCTGTATATTGGGGAAGCAAAACAACCACTTCATAAACACCTGGCACAACATACCCATCAGGACAAGATTCAGCAGTCCATCTGCTTTTAAAAGACAAAAGGCTACACTTTCGAAGACAGCAAAGTCCACATTTTGGACAGAGGTTTGAACAGCTGGTTTGAAAGAGGGGTCCAAGAGGCCGTCTATGTCAAAACTGAACCGCCCTCTCTCAACAGAGGGGGAGGGATACAATACCATCTATCTCCAGTCTACAACACAGCCCTTTCAGCAGTTCCAAGGAGGCTCCACGCCCATTTGCACCACTCAGGTGACCCTGAGGACACAGGTGAACCTCCAGGAGGCCTCAAGGACTCAAGGAATGCAGATGACCAGCTGTGCCAGGAGTATAAACCC